TTTTAAAGCAAAAACTTTTTCTTTAATAAAGAACAAACAAATAAACAAACGAAAAAACAAATGAATAGTGTCTTAGCAACTAAACATTTGTATTAACAACAAACAGTCAATTGTTTGTAATCTTTCAAACGAGGCTCTTTATTTTACTCTTCTTGTCTGTGCTTTTGTATTAAAATGTCGTTATCTAAAGATCATGCACTAACTCATTCTGAAAATCGTAAAAAATTGTGTTTAATATGTTTAAAGAAAAAGAGTAACTTAGTGCAAATAAATGGGAAGCTTTTAGAAAAAATATCAAGCGTTGCTTCTTATAGCAGTAATGATGATCGTTTACCGAGTGTGATTTGTACAGCATGTCGATTTAAAGTTTATGAACTAAATAAGTGCGAAAGTACTAAAGAATCTTTAAAATTACCGGATTATTCTAATTGGAAACATCCGAATAAATTAATTACAAGGTGGGCTGATGGAGAAGTATGTATTTGTGATCTATGTAAAATGGCTAGGAATCCAGGTAAATTTAATTTTGTGCCTTCATCTAAACCTAATCTGAGAAGTCAAAAAGTAATACGGTGCTCAAAGTGTTTAACCATAATTTCTCGTGGCATAAGTCATATATGTAACAGTTCTTCCAATTATAATAATGTTCAGGAGCATATAAATAAAACATTAAATCCTAGAGAAAAAGAGCAATTAATAAGTAAGTTAATGAAAGATATTCCATCGAATAAATATCAAAATTCCCCCAAAAATAACTTGGTATTATCTCAAAGAAATGGTAAGCCCATTAATATTATAGTAAATCCTAAAGGAGTGAAGAGAAATTTGGATCAACCAATTACTGCTGAAGCTGTGTCCGCAATGGGAACAAACTTATCCTTATCAAGTAGAACTATTGAGAGTATCACTTGCTACCAACAAACGACGTCTTTTCGAATCTAATTTAAAAGGACAGCTAAAGATTAAGAGACATTTGCTTGATGAATTTTTTGAAATTAAAACAACGCCACTGATGTCTTCTAAAAAAGGGAATGTTACAAAGTACTATGAAAATTTGATTGTTTGTAATAATTTAAATGGTTTAATAGAACGTATAAAAACATTAAGGCAATTGAACGATGAAGTACATATAAAAATCGGTATAGATGGTGGAGGTGGATTTTTAAAAGTTTGTTTACTACTACAACTGTGGACAGAAAGTGGTAATGAAAATCAAAAGAAAAAACGTCTTACTTATGATAAAGATTTTACACCTAGGAATATGAAAGATTCTGGAGTTAAGAAATTATTTTTAATAGGTCTTGCGGATAGTGCACAAGAAAATTTTGAAAATGTTGAGGTGCTATGGTCTTTTCTAAATATAAGAGATTTAAGAGATGTAACGATATCCACAGATTTAAAACTTGCAAATATTTTAGCCGGTTTGATGGGCCATGCAAGTTCTTTTCCTTGTACTTGGTGCAATGTAGAAAAAAGCAATCTCAACTTATGCGGAATATATAAAACTATCGGGGAGATTTTGAAAAACTACGAAGCTTGGATAATGTCTGGAAAAAAGAATTCTGATGCAAAACTATATAAAAATTGTGTTCACCCTCCAATTTGTTCTTCAGAGAATGACAAAGAAGATATAGAAATCATTCCTCCCCCTGAACTGCATCTAATGATAGGCGTAGTGAATCATCTATTTAAGAATATGTCAATTGAATTTGAAAAAGAAAGTCTAGATTGGGCCAAAAAGTGCAACGTTTCTCAAGACATTTATAATGGTAGCCCATCTTTTGCAGGAAATGCTTCTAAAACCCTTTTAGATAAAGTTGATATTTTGCGATCAAACCAACAAGTAGGCTGTTTAAAATACGTACAATGTTTTCAAGACTTTCGCGACGTCGTTAATTCTTGTTTTTCGCTTGAACTTGATCCTAAATTCAACGATTGTATTAAAAAGTTTCATAAAAGTTTCTTGGATTTAGAAATTAGTATTACTCCAAAGGTACATGCCATAATACATCACGTGCCATATTTTTGCAATAAGAAACAACAAGGGCTTGGATTTTATAGTGAACAATCAATGGAATCAGTACATGCAGATTTTAAGAAAACGTGGCAAAAGTTTAAAGTAAAAAAAAGTAATGAAAACTTTTCTATGAAATTATTACTGGCTGTGCAAGAGTACAATAGTCAGCATATTTAATTTTGTTAAATAATAATTTATTTATAATAGTTTTTCACTATTTTATGCTACCAAACTGTTCAAAGATAAACTTAATGTTAGTTGTAACTATTATAAAAATGTATTAAGACGAGATTCAAAACTAATTAATAAACATTTTTTTGTATTTCAAATATCATTTCATTAAAAAATAAACGGTTTTCAAAAATTACTTGAAAAATTAACTTAAAATTAATTTAAAAAAAAAACAGCGCTAAGGATGATTTAAATTTTTCTTGTAAATGTTTTTTAAAGGTCCTTAGAATGAAATGCAACAATAAAATCCAATGTCACCTGACCCCCACATTTAAAGTGGCTTCAACCGCACCGTGCAAAGGGTCCCGAACAAGAAACTGCAATCAGTTTTTGGCGGCATTTTTATGTGACTTCGTTCAGGCACACCGTGTAGTAGGGACAAAATTGGATTCCGGGTATAGAAATATACCTGTATATTTGGACAATATCGCAAGCTTTGACCTTTTAGCGAGGTATTTTGTGATTTGTACAAAATATTTAGTGGATGTTCCAAGAATGGAAAATGCACGTGTATATGGGTGGATAGCTTCGTGAAGCGCATGGACGTTAAATTTGTTGCTGGTTAAAATGGTACATTGAAACTTAGACCATTAAGGCTTTTTGCCACCAAGAAAGAAGAAGAAGAATATTTTTAATTCGAATTTAAAATATCTCAAGATATTTTTAATTCATTTGAAAATTTCTTTCATGATAATTCGAATTATAAATTTCTTTTATGAAATTGTTAATTCCAATTATTAATTTGTCCTATGATATTTTTAAAGCAATAAAATAAAGTTTTCATTCGAAATTTTTAAATAATTTAGAGATATGTGAAATTCAATGGAGAAATAAATAATTATAGAATAAAAAATCAAAAGGCGTGCCATACAATTCCATTTTTTGGTTAGATGAATTTTTAAAGTCACTTTAATCGACACAAATCGTTCTTCAACTTACTCAGGAGTAAAAAACCGACCAAAAGGTCGACAACCCCAGTATTTGAATTTAAAATTTAATTCCAAGTATGTGAACAATGTTTAAAATCATATTTATGTAAGTACAACAACCATCCTACCCTATAGTGCATAACATTTAAACTATGCATTTAATCCATAATTGCATTTTTAAATACGTTGTGGAAAATTAAATTTAAGTTAAAAGATAATAGCTATATAAACGTACCCAGATAGCACCATTCGTCCAATGGACGTCCGTTTAAGATCCATTTTAAGTACATTGGTTCACGGACTAAAAATGGATGTACTATGTACGTCCATATATTTACATCCTTTGTACGATTTTAATGGACGTCCATATAGTGTCCATTTTACGTCCATAATTATTATTACAGAAATGCAAGTTAAAACGTATTGTTGGCTGCATAAAAACAGTTATGATCAATCTCACTGACATTCAAGCAAGCGCGTGCTATAAAGGACTTAAGCTATCAATGAAATGTTAAACACTTGTAGTATTGCAAATGTAATGTCAAAAAAGCAGGTCCTGGATGCTGGAGGAATGGTTCAAACACCTTATAGACGTCCATCGGTGGACGACTTATGGATGTCCAAAGTTGTGACATCTGGACTCTAAACGGATGTCCATGGGACGTCCATAGAAAAAAAATGGACATCCTATGTACATACAGATGTCCACGAGCATACGTCCATTGGACGTCCATAGTATACCTTTATGCTCTCTGGGTAGTGTGGCTTGACAGATCAGTTTTGGTTTTTAGGTTAAGTTTTCTTACAATGTTTTTCTGTGGTTTCTTGGATTATTTGCCTTTAAAATTTAATTTCAAATATGTAACAATGTTTAAAATCATATGTTTGTATAGTATAAGTATGTTATTTAATAGTGGATAAATGTTATGTTCTGTGGGATAAATGAATAGTTGCATGTTTAAATACACTGTCGAAAATTAAATTAAAGTTTAAAAAACCCACATTTTTTGTAGAAATTCGATAGCTATAAACGTATTGTAGCTTGACTTGAGCTTAATGGTATTGTTGAATGATCAGTGTTTTGGTTTTAAGGTTAAGTTTTCTTGCATTGTTTTTGTATGGTTTTCTTGGTTTATTTGCCTTTAAAATTTAATTTCAAATATGTAAACAATGTTTATTTATATATAAGTATGTATCATGTGAATAAACAAAATACAACATACATGTAAAAAATAGCTTGTGTATTTTGTAATTTATTGTTTTCAACTGTCAACATAACCAATAAAATCTTAACAAATTAAAATACCCAAGATCATAGTTCCACTAGTGGAACTATGTTCATAGTTCAACGATTGAGAAATGCTTATTTTGTTTATTTTTTCGGGCCTATAATGTGTGGGACAATAGTATATTATTATACGAGAGATAATGAATGCTAATATTCACGAGGATGAGGTTTACGTCTCGAGTCGCTAGACGAGAGAACTAAATCATCCGAGTGAATATTGCGCATAATCTCCAATAAGTAGTTAATTAAAAGATTTTCAAAATTAAATAAATAAAATCTGGCATCTGTCAAATGGTTAACCTTACTTTTTACCAATTTTAAATGTTATTATAGTCGCCTTCTTCCAATTTAAAACTCGATTGGTTCAAATCACAGTGAATACTGAAATCGGCCAATCACTGATGCCTAACAACGTGAATACTGAGCAATTAATTCACGTTGTTAGGCAGGAAATTTATAATGCTTAACAATATTCACGGAAAAACCCCAAAATTATGCAATAGGAGTAGATAAAAGTATTTTAACTGTATCTTACCGTCGGAGTCTCTTGCAAGGGAACGTCCGGGTAAACACCCAGGGAATTCTTTTTTTTGGCCGAAGACGCCGACGATCTGAACAGCTTCGACTTCCGCTCGCTGATCTCCGCCATCAGCGAGGCGAACTCCGAACTGTCGCCGGGGAGTTTGCGCGCCCCCGCCGCCGACTGCGAGTCGCGCGGTGGCGACCCCGTCTGCGGATCGCTGTGAGCTTCCTGGTCGGTAAAACAGCACACTTCCGTCTGCCCGTCGCTGCCCGAGCACGTGCGATCGTCGCCCACCCTTTCCGTCTCTATATAAGGGATGGAGTTCGAGTCTGCAATGAAGTTAGTTATTATGTGGTAGGCTGTGAAAGTAGTTTAAATGTAGCGATACAGCCTACAACATAAACTAAACTAAGTCTTAAACCTGATTTATAATTTGGCTTCCTCCTTTCCTCCCGTAAAAGATGAACTATACGAAAACCGAAGTGCTGTTTATAGATTAGGGTACGGAAATCTATAAACACCTCTACGGTTTTTGTATTGTTCATCTTTTACGGGAGGAAGGAAGGAAGGAAGAAAGACAATCTATAAATCAGGCTTTAGGGTTGGTTAAGTTTATCTGCCAGATAATTTCTTTATCGATTATTGTGAGAATAATTCGAATTCTGGTAACCATGGAAGTTATCTGACAGATAACTTACTAAAACTTTAACCAGAACTGGACCCTAAGAAGAGTTTTTGATAAATATTAACTCCTATACAGGCTGCAAGTATTCTTCTATGTATGGGTATCTTATTTATTTGAAGAGCTACGAGGTCGGTTAAATTAGACATAAGTTGCGTAATCACAAGTTTATTAAAATGGCATTTAAAAATTGGACAAAAAATCAGCGGTTCTTAAATAGAAAAACTAAAAATCGTTATAGCTTCGATATACCTGGGAATTTTGAAAAAAAGTAAGTTTCTCAAGTAAACATACACATTTATCTATATTTTTATTCATTTGCAATTTTTTCCACCTACCAGATTTTGAATTACCATCACTTTTTTTTCTCATGGCCGCCATATTGAAATTATACATAATTAGATTAGAAAAAATTAGAAAAAAATCAAGGAATGCAAGGATGCATCAAACTACATATATTATGGCGGCCATTACAAAAACGAAAAATGGTGATAGTAACTCAAAATATAGTAGTAAATAAATTGGATACAACTGTAGATTAAAGTGTGTGTTTATATGTAAAACTTACTTATTTTCAAAATTCCCATGAATAACGAAGTTATAACGACTTTTTTTCCAATTTATAAATTTCATTTTTATGGGCTTGTAATAATGCACCTTTTTTCTAATTTAACCAATATTATAGCTCTATAAAAAAATACCCATAGAAGTATACACATTCTTGGTGCACCCTGTATAAAATATATACTAAAAATTTTATAAACAACCTAATATTCATTAAAAAACCTTTTTAATAGAGATCTCATTTGTTTTGTATTTATTATACATGTATTACAATAGTATATTAAAAATCTAATGTCATAAGACGTCATTTTGTCCCACGAGGACAATTTAAGCCCCGTCCAGATTTGTACCACGTCGCGCAACCGTACCACGTTGCGAACCACGTCGCGTGCAATCTGGACGTCGAAACGAATGCCGTCGCGAACCTAAAGCCGCGTCCAGATTTGTACCGCGTCGCGCAACCGTACCACGTCGCGAGCCACGTTGCGAACCACGACGCGAATTTCATCCCGCAACCACGTACGCCGCCTCGAACAACATACCGTACCTCGGGTTGCAACCATTGCCGCGTTCCAATTTTTAGTCAGATTTTAAAATGGATATCGCTGCAGCAGCGTACATTTATATTCATTTCGCTTTATCAACTAAAAAGCGAAAACAAAAAAGGCGGTGGTGGCAAATAGAAATATTTAGAAATAGACCGAAATATATATGGTGCGAACAAATTGCTTGCAGATTTAAAGAAGCAAAGAATTAGTGGTCAATATAAAAATTTCACTCAAATGTCAACAATAGATTTTGAATATCTTCTTAATGCAATTGGGCCCAACATAGGAAAGCAAGATACCAAGTTTCGAAAAGCAATCTCAGTGCAAGAAAGACTAGCTGTAACATTCATTTTGCCTATATAAACTAATTAAAAGTAGAATATTTTCTTCGGTCCACTCCATTTCATACACAAAATAAAACTAAACAAACAAAATTGCCCTTCTGTCCGTCCAGACTTGTTCAGCGTCGTCGCATACCAATCCTTTGATGTTTCGTCAGTTTACCGACAAGTCGTGGATCGCGACGTACCTCGAGCTGCAACGCTTATTAGGTTCGCGACGGCGTTCGTTTCGACGTTCAGATTGCGCGCGACGTGGTTCGCAACGTGGTACGGTTGCGCGACGTGGTACAAATCTGGACGCGGCTTAATAAGCGTTGCAGCTCGAGGTACGTCGCGATCCACGACTTGTCGGTAAACTGACGAAACATCAAAGGATTGGTATTCGACGACGTTGAACAAGTCTGGACGGGCAGAAGGGCAATTTTATTTGTTTAGTTTTAATTTGCTATCTTACTTTCCTATTTTTGGCCCAATTGCATAAAGAAAAAATTCAAAATCTATTGTTGACATTCGAGTGAAATTTTTGTATTGACCACTAATTCTTTGCATCTTTAAATCTGCAAGCAATTTCTTCGCACCATATTTCGGTCTATTTCTAAATATTTCTGTTTGCCACCACCGCCTTTTTTGTTTTCGCTTTTTAGCTGATAAAGCGTAATGACTATAAATGTACGCTGCTGCAGCGATATCCATTTTAAAATCTGACTAAAAATTGGAACGCGGCACTGGTTGCAACCCGAGGTACGGTATGTTGTTCGAGGCGGCAACGCGGGATGAAATTCGCGTCGTGGTTCGCAACGTGGCTCGCGACGTGGTACGGTTGCGCGACGTGGTACAAATCTGGACATGAATTCTTTATGCTATTTTATCTATTTTGCAAAAATTCTATAAAAAAATTAATTTTATACCTGGTATTTAATTTGGTCGAATTTTACTTTAGATAGTTGGTATCACGTACTAAATAAATGTAAAAAGTGTAAACCATGGTTTTAAACATAGGCAAACAAATCCGCGCGCACGGAATTGTGCGCAGGCACTGACCAAGCCCGCCTAAGCTACCTATAAAACCTTAATATAAAAACGCTCGGGCAAATTTTGAAAGGCAAATTAGCGCCGAGCTTTAAAAACTAAAAATATTAACATTAAATAACAATTTTTTTCTATTCTTATTTAATTTTTTATTTAAAATACACATAGATTTAAAAATATATGTTTAACGCAGGCGTTTTCGGTGTTTAAGCCTAAAATATACAAAAAGAAAAAATAATACACTTTGTATTTTAATTAACTAATTAATTTTTAAATTAGTATTTACATAGGAAATAATTAATTACTTATTAAAACATTGTAATTTAATAACTTTTTTTTTGAATAAAACCTTTGACCAGACACTACTAATTTCGTTAATTTAAAAACATATTTATCAATTGCTATAAATTAGTGTAATAATTATTCTAATCGTTTTTTTTTGTTTCTACCCAAACTTATATTAACATATTTTTTTATGTAATTCCATTTTTTTAATATATATATTTATTATAATAAATATACTAAATTTATTTCCAATTCAAACTATTATGTTGTCTACCCTTTTATATAAATAAATAATCTCAAAACATTAAAATAACAAAAATAACTTAATTTTTTAAACCCTTATAACTAAAAAACCACTTGTTAGTCGCCATTTTAAGGACTACCTGTATAAAAGTACATTTTTATACTTCATAATAAAAATCTTTAATAATCACAGGAAGTAACTAAACAACCATAAATAATCATAAATAACGACGGAATAATAAAATTTACAAATATCAATTAATGTAATAAAAAAGTTTCTCAATTTTAGAAAACCATAAAAATGATGGAACAAATAATTAAGGCCATTATTTGCAAAACTCTCTCTTTGCTATTTGGTTTACTTTTCAGGAGCAACAAAAAACTTTTTAGCTTGATCACAAATTATTTTTTCGGTTTAATTTTTTGATTTCAATATATTAATAGGGATGACTAATAAATATAATAATCGTATAGTTTTTCAGAAAATTGTTTTTTGCAAATAGACAGTGAAATTAAACGTTAATTTATTATCAAATCTGATGAAATTAGCGAAAAAAGTGAATTTTGATTATTTTGTCGATTAGAGACTTTTGCAAATAATGGCCTCAAATAGTATAGTAGGTGACTTCTAGACCAGAAGTAGTGGTAATTTTTCTGAAATTAAATTGATAATACTTGTAGTCAAAAACAAGTAAATAAAAAAGGCAAAAAAGAAAAAACAAATTAAAACCAGTAAAAAAATAAAAAAGGCAAACAAATTTTTAAAAAAAGGAAAGAAAAAACGTCTCCTCGTTGCTCCGAGAAATAGCAATTTATATATTAGTAGTTAAAAAAAAAAGCAACAAAACTTTGCAAAACCATAATTCTTCTAATAAAGGGTTTTTCAATAGGAGTGATATGTTTTCTTTCTTAAATAAAACAAAATAGAGATGAGTTAGAGCAACAATTTTTTTTTAATTTTAAAGTATAATCAATGCAATTATGTTCTAAAAAGGACATCATTCAAATAGCCGCCTCTGCTTCTCCTACAGAGCTGAATACGGTGAGTCCAATTTTCGATCACTTTATTTAATAAATTAGGACCTACTTGTTGTTTTAGTGTTCAATATTTAATTTTAATGTCTCAATTGTTGTAAGGATGCAAATTGAACCGTAAAATACGCCATGTTGTTGTGACAGACAGTCCCAACTGTTGAGAACGTCTCCCTGCTTAAAATACCCCATAGAGACCCTGTTCAAACCGATAGATATTTGTATCGGAATGTATGGTGTTTCTATAGGGTGTATCGGTATGTATAGGACCCATAGTTGCGATTTATGGTTGTTCTATAGGGATATCCACCCTTGATTTATTTGCTATTGGTTTCAATGGGGAAAATACACATAAATGTAGAAATTAGTTTTTCCCCCATAGGACCCCATAGGTTTTAATAAAATTTTGTCAAATGTTTTATGGTATCTCTATAGGGATATCCCTATATATCCTTCATTGAGTTATTTTCTATTGGTCTCAATAGGGAAAATGTAAAAGTTATTGTGTGCCTATAGGTAATTTCCTATACATTTTCTATCGGGCCGTATCCGGAAAAAACCATGGACAAATGCACATATTGAATCCGGTAGCGCCCGATAGATTATTTTGTATAGGTCTCTATGGGGTATTTTAAGCAGGGCTTGGAATTGATAAATTAGGGTCTTTATCAACACTTGCCCGAACGGCAGCAACATTCTCTTCACTTTGACTTGAACTTTGTCTCACTGGCATGCCAACATATTGTAAAGAAAGATTGCGTTTAAAAGTTTCCACACTTCGACGAATAGCGAGCACACTAAGCCGATTATGACGACCATAATTTGGAAGTGCACGATAAGTTGCTTTATAAGAAAGATTATTTTGATAAAAAAATTAGATTATTTCCAAACGTTGTTGAGGAGTGTATCATTCCATGATTGTGTGACAGAAGATTTTGACATTTCAAATACGGCCACACTCTGGATTTAAAAACATATCACCTCTATTGAAAAACCCTTTACTTATGTACGTATTATAATTACTTTTGATTCATACTGTGTCAACACCCTAGTTTTGTCTAGGGTCAACACTGAGTTTATGAGTACCTTATTTTACTATCCAAAATGTTAAATATTGTTAGTAGTACAAAAGTTGATGTAATTTTAAAAGAATGTTGTCATATTTACCGTGCAGTAGACTTCGACTGCTGCTGAAGAAAGGACGTAAACTGGGCTTTGGCGTGCTCGATATGGACATGGTGTCCTGTTCGCCGCCCGAATCCTCGTCGCAGCTGAGTGACTCCAGTTCCTGGAAGAGCGCCTGGATGTCGCTCGGATTGTCCAGGTCGCCGCCCCTGCCGCCCTCCGAGTCCGGTACCCGGAACCTGCGCAGCAGCGACACAAACCTGAAAGAAGAAAAACTTAGAAAAACACATTTTAATTTTTGATTTTCTTTCTTACCTTTGTTTTAAATTGTGCCTCGCGTGCGGCATCTTGGTTCTAATGGGTTCGCTGTCGGAAAGGTCACCAGCCTCCTCTTCGCCCGAGCTGATCTCGTCGTCATCGTCGCTAAAGTCGTGTTCGCGCTCTGTTTTGTGCTCGTGATCTATCGGCGTGGAACTCAGCTGCAAGACGGTAACGCGCGCAACCGCGTTCGCCCCCTTGTCCTTGCCGCCCTCGGACATCAGTTCGAGCTCGAGGTCCATCTGCTTTTGTAGGATCTAGAATAAAAATAATTTTTTGTTAAGATCTTAAATGTGTTTCAAAGTATTAACCCATTTATGGGTACACTAATTTTAGCACTGGTGTAGCATTTACACCCAGTAAGATCGACGTAGAGTAAGGACAGGTAGCTTTTTTCAAGGCGAATCCAGATGTGGCTTTAAAATTTTTCTTAGGTCATACTTACATTTTTATTAATTTATTTAATTGTATATTTCACTGTATAATAGTTTTAAAAAACAGTTATATAACTGGTACCACCAAACCATTTTAATTTTCTTAATTTTATATTCCACATTGTTTTTTTTTAACCATTCCAGTAGCTCTTCATAATATGTATTTATATTAAATAGTATATTTCAAAATTTGTATCCTTTTACAAAAATTTGTTGGGCGCAATTCAAGTTTTCCAGGAACAAAAATATAACCAAAGGATTTTAACTTTGCTATTGAAAAATAATTATGACACATTTAAAGTTACAGTAATTAATCAAGTTGAAGAAGGAAATAGGTACAATTATTTTGTTTTGGGTGGTTTCTTTTGCTAAAGGACATTATTCTGTTGTTGTTAATGAGCTGTTCTTACACGGTATCTACATTTTCAAGGTAAATTAATAATTTTATGTAACCCGGAAAATAATCCAGTGGAGTCAAATCAGGGATCTGACAGGCCAAGCAATTACATTTTTTAAAACGTTTAATTTTCAAGAAAAAAATTAAATTTGTTTAGCCGCTTGTGATAATACAAGCTGGTTGTATTTTTAAAGTAGAAGCGAAGCGTACCCAAATTTTATATATTTTTAATCACTTTACGACGCTGTGTCTTGAAAACAGAACTTTAAAATATATATATATTTTATATATGAGTACATTAAATGCAAAACTCGGTTTTTGCAAATTTTTAAAAATATATATTTTATCCTATTTTTGTACATTACTGCACTGCCTACAGCATACCTAAGTAAACCAGATGTATAAGTTAGTATTTGTAGAATAAAATAAATTTAAAAACTTGACGCAGATGCAAAACTGGCTATTTGTTTCTTCCTTTCGGATGCAAAACTCGGTATTTACTGTTGACCAATCACGTCGCTAGTATACGCATTACGTGACGACATAACAATCACCTGATTAATTGTTATAACAATCACCTGATTAATTGTTATTTTTTAGTATTTGCACTTTTCACTTGCAAAACTTGGTCTTTGAACGAGGAAGATGCAAAACTATGTTTTTAAAACTTCTGAATACAATTATTTAGTAAAATACCCAATTTGAAAGGATTTTTTTTTACTCGTTTGAATAAAAATGATGCTTAAGCACGTCTATACAATTTTTACATTTTTTTTTTCAAAAATGATCTTATGAGCGATTTTTCATGTTTTTCTTAAAATCACTTATTCTGCAAATACAGAGTTGTGCATCTAATTATAGAAGTTCATATAAACTTTCCTTCTTTTTGCGAGTTCTATCGGCCCATTATATTGGTTAAATTATAGTTTTCAAAAGGTTTTTTTATGTTTCCATAGAAATATTTAAAAAATTACGTAGATATTTTAAATATAATAACTACAGGGTATTTCCATTTCAAAACGACCGGTAGGCGCAGGTCATGATTTTCTTTTTCTATGAAACTTAAATATGTTGTTTTTTGGTCAAAATAATGAGATACGTATTTTTTGTTTGGCGAAAAAAAAATTTTGTTGATGGTTTTGAGCGATTTATTTTTTGCGGTAAAAATCGACTTTTTCCGTTGAACGAAAAAGCTTTTTTTGTAAATGCGTATAACTTGTTCAAAAATTGACCGATTTTGACAATTATACTTGCAAAATGCTTGTATTTATTAACACTTATCATTAAAAGTAACAACAATTTTAAATTCATTGTGACAATTTTTTTATACGATAAAAAACGAAAAGTACGGAATTTGTTCAAAATACACATTTTTTAAAAAGTGTATTTTTTATTTTTTTTTATTTTGTTTTATCAAAAAGAAGATAGTCCAAACTGCATTTTGAATAAGGGACTTTTAGCCAAAACATTTCGTTAAGAATTTTTTTTTTAATTCTTTTTTTTTCCAACGATCGCGTGCTGCTAAATAAATTATATTTTTAAAGTAAGTTTTATGTGTAATAGCAAACAAATAAAATTAAAATTTAAAGTTCATTGGGGTATAATCGTTTTAAGTGAAAAATTATTTTGTTTAAAATCAAATTCTCAAGGCGAAATACATGAGCATAGACAAGGGATTGGTTTGGGTGGGGAAGATTTAGTACATAAGTGCCATCTTGGTTTAGTACTACTAAACCAAGATTGCCATGATCCTTATAGAATTATTGTTTGACGGATTGTTGTGTCATAACCTCATTTTATTGACTGTGTCAAGTCGTGACTTGTTAAATATATAAAACCTGAAAATAACAAGAATCCATTACATCCATCCCGTACAATACTTGAAGATTCCATGTAAGTTGTTCTACGCTTATAATTGCAAATGCAAAAAATACTGAATGATTATAACGCATTGTTTTTTATTAAAGTTGTACATATCATTATTCTTTGTAATTGATTGCTAGACTTGAGAGGCAGGTAATATACTTAATACTCGGAAATTCCCTGTTTATTATTTAACTAAGGCTTTTTTAATGCGTAGATTTTTGATCTGCAGATTTATTTTAACTTTTAATTTTCCTGAAACTAACAAATATAAACAAAGAATTAAATATTTTTTAAGTGAAGTGATAATGGTCTAAAAATCAATCCCAACAAATCAGTAGCATTGCTAGTTGGTAGGAAAAAAATGAGAAAAAATCTGGACCTTAAAAATTTAAATTTGGCAGTAAATGATTAAAGAAATAATTGGGTAAATTATTCAAAAAACCTTGGGTTAACTATTGATAATATGTTAAATTTTAATATTTAAATTAATAATATATACAAATCTTCATTTTTTAAACTTAAATCATTAAATAATCTTAAATATGTGCTTGATGAGAAAACAAAATTAAGTCAAATCGCTTGTTTATAATAAAACTAATTACTGTAGCTCTGTTTATTACTATAACTTAACCATGTATAACAGGCAAAAGCTTCAGCGTATTCAGAATGCTTGCATTAAATATGCATGAGTATGAGTTTGGGGTCGTATGGCAGGCCCCATATATATCACCTTACACAAATCTCCCAGGGTTATTTTACCACCTTTCCGTTCTCCTGCGTATCCCGCACTGCACAGCATTACCTGTGTTTGTTGGATCTGCATTTTTACGCCGGCTGGTAGATCTACTCTAGGAGGTCGTGGATGACAATATCGATGGTTAAGGCCACTCCCGGATTTATGTCGCCGGGTCGGGCCATACACCCAGTTTAGGCTAGTGGAGAGCAGCACTAGGAGGGTAAATGTTGGTTTTTGGAGGACATTGAACTGACCCAAACAACCGGGGCTTAAGTAATAAGCCCATTCAATTGGGATTCATAAATGGGGGTAGAAGTGTTAGTAAGCTGCTAGAACCTGTCCTTGTTGGTGTCCTTCTAAATGTCTCTGTCCGAGTCGGTTTCCGGTTCCTGGTAACCGCTTTAGTATTTCTTGCCCCCCAGGAGATACTAAATCCTGCCTTCAGTTAAGTGTTGACGGCCGCGACCCGCCGTAAGTGCCCTCTGCCTTCGTTGATATTCAACCCCTCCTGACGAGCACCGATTACCGACTATGTATCTTCTTTGATTATTTTATTGTTGTTATTATAATGATGGTAATGTTTGTAAATTAACTTAAATTAAATTGATAAAGTAAGAAGCACTATAGTGTATCAACCGTTTACCATTTAAATTCTCTTTGTTTCTTACTTTATCAATTTAATTTAAGTTAATTTACAAACATTACCAACATTAATACACAAATAGATAAAGCCGGCCCTGAAGTGTACGTAATTGGAATACGGCCCTATTGTCAGGCTTGGCAGTTTAATTGAGAGGGTCGCCCCTCTTATATTTTGTGTTGTCTTATTACGTGCTCGTTTACTTTTTAGACTTTTGTTTATTTAATCTAAGCAATCGCTTGTGATTTATTACTTTTCTAATTTAACTAATTAAGTTGAATAGCTATTTATTGAAAACGATTATTCGTTGTTTTCTTGTTGTGGTAGAAATTGTGTTTACGTATTCTTTTCTTATTTAACAATTAAGAAATTGTATTTTTTTTTAATTTACTGCTTCTACCATTTGTTTTTTTATACTCGAGGTCTCGCAGTTTGTTTATTGTTAAATTAATGTATTATACCATTTTTCATTAACCTTTAATTAAATCTTAGCAAACATTTTATTTTGAACCAAGTTTGTATTATATGTAATTAATACTATACAGCTGTATTCATTAAAAAAGCGTACAAGAATTAGAATGAGAGAAAACTGTCAACATTATTGCGTAAAACCGGCTTTCCACTGACTTAAGTCACTATCATGATACAACAAATCATGAGTCACTATAACTGACAGTAGAAAATAAAAATGCCTCGTCAATTAAAAAGGCTCAAATAGTATCAAAAATCGAAGAAGAATGGTTAATTCGTACTGTGGTATAATAGAAATAAAAAATCTATATTAAAAATTAAGCAACGCTGGGAACAGGAAGATTTACTAAACCAAAAAGTTGCTTCAGGTCGTCCCAAAATGTCGACCCCTGAACTGGATGCCTCTTTTTTTGGATATCTGAGGATTTATGGGAAACTATACAACTATACTATACTATACTATATATAGGTATACCTAATATACTGCTGGGAAGATATTAATCCAAATATTGTATTAAATTTAATTCAGTTCATCCCAATTAGATTGGCTCAACTAATAGAAAAACAGGGATGCATGACTAAATATTAAATTTTTTTTAATGTTTGTTTTATTTCATTTCTAAAAGGTAATAAATTTTGTAATATTATTTAATTAACCTACGACGTCAATGCTCTTTATAACCTATAGTAATTATTTTAATGACTTATGTCAG